TGTCCTAGGTCATAGAACTCTGTGGATGAAGGATAGGGCCTTGCTGCCAAACCTGCACGGGGCTTAGTAGGACTAATCTCTACTCTGGTATCTGGAGACCTGGGCATGAGCGGCGAGCGCTCGTTAAACAACTCGTCTAGCCCAATGACCGGTACTGTCCGACAGGTCTGTTCAGTTTTTGTGTAGAGGGTCTGAACTCGAGCTGCAGGCTGAAACGGAGGCCGTCGTTAAGTGTTGAGGGCCTGTTGGAACCACTTCCCTACCAGACCAAGTAAGGCTGATAATCTGTGTCTGACGACTCGACTGTCCCGGGGGATACGAACCCTCCCAAGGACCGGTACAGACCGGCGGGCTGCTCGGTGTGGCACAGTAGGCCGGAAAGGCTGAGTTGTGGGCTGAAAGCACAGGCAGAACCAAGCTGATCACGTCGTCCTGTCTGCGACGTTAAGAATTCTTGAGGAGATACGGGGGATCTCCTTAAATGCCTCCTGATCAGCCACTGGTTCAGTAGTGACACCATAGTGTAGGTCTAGGCTAGAGACCATAGTTGACAAGATCCCTGTCAGGATTCTGTGAGTCTTAGATTGAGTCAGTAGGTTTGTCAGTCAGGGGTTGACGTCTACGTGGTGAGGTTTGGAACCACTAACCCGGTTGTACACTTATCACCATGGTTGATACCCGTAGTGGGAAGGAGATTAGCCCCTACACCACTGAGCATCAAGAAAAGATGGCCGCCTTAGTCAGAGAGAATAAGGAGAAGAAAGAGCGTGAAAAGCAAGCCAAGCTAAAGGCTATCGCAGACGAGCAGGCGGTGAAGATGAAGAGATTGGAGGAGGAGATGAAGAAGGTACAACAGGAGGAGGAAGAAAGAAGGAAGGTTGCTGAAGCAGAAGCGGCAACAGAAGAAGAGAAAGTGAGGATGAGAATTGAGAGTGGGGAAGGAAGTAGTGGTGGCACGATGAAGTGGGAGACAGATACTGAGCTGGAGAAAAAGATCAGCGAGTGGGTGACTAATTTATCGTTGGGGGAAGACGAGGAGGCGGAGTCCTATGTGACTCAGGATGAGAAGGCTGCGCTGGCTGCTGAGCTAGCGGCCATGACAGACCCAATGGAACGAAGAGAGAGGGAAGATGAGCAAAAGTTAGCATGGAAGTTGAGAATGAAGAGAGAAGAAGAGGAGGAGAGAGGAAGTGAATAAGATGACCGCCGCAGTGGCAAAGGTGCAGGAGTGTAGAGCGGAGGTGCTGGCCCAGCCAAATGATAAGGCCAAGTGGGACAAAGTACTGGGCTATCTAGAGGTGTTGAGCAAGGCCTGGATGGAGGAGCGCAAGGCAAGCTTGAGCCAGGATGTAGCGTTAAGTGCCATGCGGTCCGGGTTCAGGGATTTTGCGCGCGAAATCGTCACCCACATTGGGGGCGAAGTCAAACAGTTGAGAGACAACGTAGGGAAGTTTTGTGAGGGCGCCATTCAGGGTGCCAAAGCAGTAGCCGCTGTAGAGGGAGAGGCCAGACCCCGTAAGGACCCAGTGAAACTTAATTTCCCAGACGCATACGGGGGGAAGAAGGACGAGAACTTTGACAAYTGGGAGGCCAGTGTCAATAGTTACRTTTATTTACAGCATATCCTGATGGAGGAGCAAGTCCTCGTGGCCTTCCAGGCCCTGAAGGACGAAGCGGCTAGCTTCGCCAGGTCTCTCGCRYGTACAGCCGRTTGTGAAAACAACCTGGTTGCATATTCTAAAGTCACCCCTCTTTCCCAATTCCTCAGGCTCCTCAAGGAGCGTTTCGCTGACCCAACGAGAGGCATAAGAGCCTCTGACAAGCTTCAAACGATCCACTCACGGCAGTGGAGGAGTGCCAAGGCACTCAAGGGTACCATGAACGACTTGGTAGCCATCTCGGACCATGGGGTCACTGAGCCCCAGCTGGTTCAATTGTTTTATCGTGCCATTCCAGAGGCCCTACATGGGCATTTCTTTGATAAGTCTCAGCAGATCGGCATCACATACGATCAATTGAGTCGCAAAGTCGTCCTGTATGAGTCGAAGTCTATGCCTATTACCACTTTCTGGCATAAGGACTTAGAGAAGGGGAAGAAGTGGAAGAATCGTACCATCTCAGGCCAAGTAAAGGCCAAGGATCACATGATCCTGACATTAGAAGAAGGTGGTACCGATGAGGTCCCATATGACCAGATTGAGTGGGGCCTTGAAGATGATGGTAGTAGTGTGGGGCAGGGGAGGTCTTACGCTGCTGTCGCGGCTGGAGGGAGGCCGCAAGGAGGAGGAGGAGGCCTGGGCCAAAGGGGCCAGGCCATGGGAGGCCGAGGACCGGGCGCACAGGGGGTTGGCGGACAGGGAAACCACCAAGCGGGAGGTAGGGGTCAAGGTCCCCCGTCAAATCGCCAGGGTAATCGGTCCCCACAACCAAGAGGTGGAAGGGCACCTCAAGGAGGTTGGCACCCAGGTTTGCCACAGGGCAGGCCCTGGGAAGACTTGGGCTTGGACTGGCAATTATGGCAGGAACGCGTGAACATGAGTCAGTCCGTATTTTGTGGTGACCCGGCGCATGTAATTAAATTTTGTCCTAAGTATAGATTGGCCCGTTGGGCTGCCCAGCAGTCAAAAGGCAGCCGCCAGTAGGGGTCGCAAGTGCCCCTACTTCAAGGCCATGTGGAGAAGTGAGCGCGCGCAAACATGACACTCCCAACCCGCATGAGCCTATGGCAGAGGTTGCAGGCCCGTGCCTAGATAGCTGTCCAGAGACTGCTTGTGTTAGCGTCTCTTTAGGCATGTCCCTCACAGGTGTGGCAGAAGAGTTAAAGGAGAGGATGCCAGCCTGGGCCAAAATGAAAAAGGAGAGTAAGGGATAGCTAATCTTAGTAGATGTAGAGGTGTTTAGGAGTAGAGTAGGGGCCCTCATAGACTCAGGGGCTACCCGTAGTTATATTAGTCGTAGGGCGCTGAAGAAGCTGAGGCTAGGACTAAAGGTACAGAAATTAGTAGACCCCGTAGTCAGTGTTCTCGCAGACAACCGCACGATGCGCGTTGAGGACTATGTATAGGGAGTGCAGGCGTACTTTCGCCTAGAGAAGGATGGGAAGGTGGAGAAAGTTCTCCATTCCCTGACTCTCCTCGTACAAGATGACCTTCCTTTCGATATAGTGTTAGGAATGGATTGGTGAGAGGCAGCAGGGGGTACACTTCATTTGAGAGAGCATGAGTGTAGGCTCCCTAGTCCGTCAGGCGAGGTTAAGACTGCCCGCTTGTTCCATGTGTCTGGTGTAGATAACACCTTGGCACATTGCTGTCTCAGTGCTCCCTCATTCGCACGATTAGTAAAGAAGGAGCAGTTAGAAGACCAGGTCTTTGTAGTTTATGTTAGACCAGTCATCGAGGCCCAAGAAAAGGATAGTTCCACAGATCCAACAATTGCCAAGCTGCTGGAAGAATTCAATGACTTGACTCAGTCGCCGACAAGAGTAGTGTCGCGACCCATCCAGCATAGGATAGAGATAGAGTCTGACTACAGAACTCCTAAGGGTGCAGTGTACAGGATGTCCCCTAGAGAGTTAGAGGAGCTTCGCAAGCAGTTAGACGAACTCCTTGAGAAAGGTTGGATCAGGCCCAGTTCGTCTTCTTTTGGAGCACTCATTTTGTTTGTCCCCAAGAAGGAAGGAGAGTTGAGAATGTGTATAGACTATAGGGGTTTGAATGCGATCACTGTGAAGAATGCTGAGTCGCTGCCCAAGATAGACGATCTTTTAGATCGGGTGCAGGGTTGTAAGTATTTCTCTAAGATAGACTTAAAGTCCGGATACCATCAGATAGAAGTCCATCCTGATGATCAGTACAAGACTGCGTTCCGGACTAGATATGGGCATTACAAGTTTATTGTGATGCCCTTTGGACTGACCAATGCGCTAGCTACTTTTCAGCGTTGCATGAATGACCTGTTTAGACCATGGTTAGATAAATTTGTGGTAGTCTACTTAGATGATATCCTAGTCTTCAGTAAGACCCTCCAGGAGCACCAGRGTCATCTGAGGCAGGTCTTGGAGAAGCTTAGAGAGGCTAACTTCAAGAGCAATGCGAAGAAGTACGAGTGGGCCAAGACGCAAGTCTTGTACTTGGGCCACATGTTGGACGGAGATGGCATTAAGCCAGAGGACAGCAAGATCGCGACGATCAGAGATTGGCCGACGCCCCGCACGTTGACAGAGTTGCGGTCGTTCCTAGGCCTAGCTAACTACTACAGGAAGTTCGTGAGGTACTTCTCCACTATCGCCGCTCCCTTGCGCAGGTTGTTGAAGAAAGAGACAATCTGGCAATGGGATAAAGACTGTACGTCAGGGCTAAAAAAGTGAAAGCGCGCGTTAATAGAATATCCTGTCCTCAAAGTAGCGGATCCGTCCTTGCCATTTGTCGTTACCACGAACGCAAGTCAGTATGGGATAGGCGCCGTGTTGCAGCAAGACGACG